GCCTGGGCACGCCTCGCCATTGTCCCCCGCCGCCATGGCCGCCATGAGAGTAACAGCTTTCGTTTTTGAATCCCAAAGTCCGTCATAACCAGCAATCGTTTTCCCCAGAAGATAAAACTTGTGATCGCCAGACCAGTACTCAGGTGGGTGACCACTGGGGAATCCCTGGTGTTGTATGTTTTTGCTGCTTTTTTTGCTCCGCAAGTGGATCTCTTTTTGCTCTTCTCTGTCTGATGAGATTCGGTATCTTGCTGTCTGTATTCGCAAGAACCCCAAAGCGAGCCGATCTTCTCGCGGTAAACCGGTTCAGAATGAACCTTAAGTGGGGCGTTCTTGGAGAGAACCTCCGGGTGTGGGAGCTGCTCGCCGTAATCCATCACCACACAGAAGCAAAGACCTACAACCGGTTTCTCGCCTCGAAAAGAACGTCAGAACGAAAAACCTAAAAGAGAGAAACAGATGCACAGAGACAAAGAGCCAAGGAAAATATGTACAATCAAGATATACATATCTAATATCAGCCTGCCTAGGGACAACACCAATCCATCATGTCTCCCCCCCTTTCTCGACAACCTGGGTCTCGTCCCGAGAGATTCTCATTCGATCAGAACGCATGTGACCATACACAGGGTTCGCAGTCTTCCGGTTTTCTTTGAGCTCCGATCTTGGAGTTTGGTGTTGAGCGATTCTCATTCCCCACCAAGCTGACCTGCGTGACTTGATATACCCACAACCCAAACTCCACCACCAAGCAAACTACAGCAGGTGATAACATCTGTCAGAAAAAAATCTTCCGTAGTATAGTGGTCAGTATGTGAGCTTGTCAATGGATTTCATTGATCCAGAAAACAATCGCTCGAGACCCGGGTTCAATTCCCGGCGGGAGAGATATCAAGACCATCAAACCTTCTTTTTCTTCCCTTTTGCCCTGCGTATATTCCCACATCTCTTCTTTTTTTGAATGCATGCCTATGGTGTTTATTTAAAACGAGCAACCCGTACCCTTCGACAGATTTGGGGGCCAATGCCCGCAGGCAGGCCCAGTGAGAACGGCAGATCATGGGAAGCGCATTATTGACAAACAGGTATCTGGTGGAATACGAGGGTCTCGGGTCTGAATTTCATGAATAGCTGACAAGCAAACAATTGGGAAACAAGAGCGAAGAGCTGGAAATTGTGAGGGGTAATTTTGCCATTTTTTCGTTTCTTTTTTTTGCCTCTACTTGTAGAGTCTACCTAATATATGCCCCCCTGGGCTTTTCACAGACACAAGTCGCTGTCGGTTAAAAAAGATATGGTATCGTTATTTATTGAAAAGGAAAGTCAAAAAGAAAGCGCTCCTCTGCAACATGCCAAATAGGTTCAAGGACTCAATTCCCGATCCGTTGTCTCCGAGCTTTCGTGGTCCAGAGTACGGTCACTGTCGTTGCTGCCCGTGGACTCTACTGAGGTAGCCCGCGGGACTTCGCCAGGGTGGGAATCCTGTACCTCCACCGTCTCCGAGTCTTCCTAATTCGGCGCGACGTGGCTGTCGCCGGCCGAGGAGGCTGCGATAGCAGCCTGTAGGGTTTCAAACAGCTTGGATTCCTGTATCTGGTCCGGCGTGGTATGATTCTGTGGCATGGTATCAGGAGCCGAGTGGTGATTTGGAGGTAGAGGCGGGAATGTGAGGGTGGGCGTGTTGGAAGTAACAGGTGGCGACTGCGAATGCGTTGTCGGTGCTTGTGGTTGCTGCGCGGGTACCGGTGATGGGGCTGGCTGTATATTTTGAAGAGTTGGAGTGTGATTGACCTGCACCTGTGGTTGATGGTGGGTTTGTGCTGGTAGTTGAGGTTGCGCGCGTTGCTGACTCTGATTGAGGGCCGGATGTTGAGGTTGGTATTGCGCTTGTGATTGTAGTGGCTGCTGCTGCAACGGTTGACGCTGTTGGTTCTGCGGGAGTTGTGGGTGCTGAGAACGCTGGGTTTGCTGCTGTTGCTGGATTTGTTGCCCGTTCTGCTGCTGCTGTTGCGTGTGTTGTTGCTGTTGTTGGTGTAGATGCTGCTGCTGGTGTTGAGTCTGGTGATTCTGTTGAGCTTGGTGATGTTGCGGGTGCTGCTGTTGCTGCTGGGGTGTATGAGGATGCTGCTGTTGTCGAGGTTGCCGAGTCTGTTGATATTGCAGCTGATGAGGCTGTTGTTGCTGCTGCTGATGTTGCGCGGCAGGCTGCGGTTGTAAAGGTTGGTATTGGGGTCTGGTAGTTGACTGCTGGGACGCACCCGAGCCCGAGGCAGGTGCTGGCTGGATGGGAGGAAACTGGGAAGACCTGGGCGCAGGATTTTGTTCCGAGGGCTCGGTCTTCACCATTGGCGAGCTCTGTGCCTGGCCCAAGTTTGCACTGTTATGCTGAACATGTGCCGAGTTTACACCTGCGTGCATTCCATTCATGGTGGGAGTCGCCGGACTGGCTCGAGCCGCGGGTGAGCCTGCGTGCGAGGCGCCAGCCACAGGGTGGTGATCATGAAGGCCATTGCCCAGAATCATCAACCCTTGGAGCTTCGCTTGTTCCTCGGCTTGGTTTAAGCGCGCCTTCTCTTCTGCCTCCTTGCGAGCTGCCTGGGTCGGAGCTCGTGTCTTGAGTTCGCCCGTCACGCTTTGGAGATAAAACGGCATCTCCGAGTTCGTCTTGAGGAAGAAGAGCTTCAAGTTCCTCGCCTTGTCTTTCAATTGAACTTGGGTTCGGTCCTTGAGGATATCGGATACAGTTCCGTTGGGCCCGAAAAGACTCAGGATCTGGCTCCAGTGAGGACCCCTGACCATGTCAAGCCCAGCCATCAACGCCTTCTCTTCCTCGGGACTCCAAGGTCTGCGCGTAGAATGCAAGCCCTCGCGCCTTGCTGTGTTGGAGGACTTGGCCACGGCGGCTTGGCGAGCCTTCTCGTACAACGCAGCGGTCGGGAGCGACTGATGCGGCGGAAGGGCAGCGTCTCCTGAAGCTGCTACCGGAGCCGCCGCGGGAGTGTTTTGCGTATAGTGGTAGGAAGGTAGGTGTTGCTGGCCCATCTGGCTTTCATACTGAGGGTGCACGGCGGCAGTATGGTTGGAGTTCGCAACATTAGTAGAGTAAGTCATTGGTGTCGTGAGTGAATGACCATGAGGTGATTCGGTCAGGCCATCTCTCATTAGCTGACCTTCAATGAGAGCAGCCAGATTGGGCATTTCATCAGAGTTCTGCTGTTCTGCGGATTCCTCTTTGGACCCGTTCTGATCGTTCATGAGGGATTCTTCAATCAACCTTCTCAGCTCCGTATCCTCGGGCGCGTCAGAGTTATTTGCCTCCCCGTTTAGGGGAAGATGTGAGGTTGCGGAGCGTAACAACTCGGCGATGTTATCGAGCCCAGACTCTCCATTTTCCGGCTCTGGGAGCGGGAGTGGCAGCATTTCCTCCTCCTTGGGCGGGATGTTGACCCCATATTTTTCGGCATAGTCTACAACTACGCCGAGGTGACCTCGTAGAAAGCCACACAGCTGTTCCGTGAAGCTGTTTGGGGATGATTGCTCCTCCAGTGATTCTATATTGGTCAGCAAATCAAAGTTTGGAAGGTAAGTAGGAAATGGGGTCCAAAACACACTTTTCAGATCTCCATTGGTACCAGACTGAACCAGTAACTCCCGCCGCTCCCTAACCTTGCTAACCAGATGCTCCTCGTCTGCAGTCAATAGCGGATCTCCACTGCGCTCTTTCAGCCCTTCTTCAAAGTTGACTGGAAACAGCTGCTCCAGTAACTCTGAGGCCGGTTGTGCTTCTGGCCGGCCCAGGGCATCCAAGTATAGACGTGTCTTCATGCTGAGGAGTAGCTCCGTAAGCGAATCTTTGTACTCGCCATCTTCTGGTACAAAGATGGTAAAGAAGGCGTCATGAACATCCCGCAAGCCAACATCATGTGCACCATATACACTGACCGCTGTCGCCGCCAAATTTGACATTCGTATGGTTTCTCTATCCTCCGAATCGTTGATCTCGAGCTCATCTGCGGAGAGGAGGGGCGAATCGGAAAAGGCCTTCCTCGTGGTCCGAAACATCTGGAGTACAGTGTCGTAACCCTTGCGAAATTCGGAGTCCGTTTCTGCCAAGCCGAATTCGGTCTCGGCCCTGGGGTGTTGTGACAGCATGAGCAGGATTTGAACTGCGACGTTGCCCAGTACCGGAAGGGTCATGGAGCGCACGTAATTGAGGGTATTGGGTGAACGGAAGTCGACGATCTTATTCTCGGCCTTCTCGGATTCAGGAATCGGCGGCGCAAGCTCCATCTCCACATCCGGGCTGACTCTCTGATCGAAACCAGCGAGCGCATTGGTCAGTAATGCCTCAATGTCCATATTAATCGACTCTTGAACTGCTTCCGCCACATGTTCTGACTGCTCTGGCACCTCCACCTTGATCCGCTTCGTCGCATTGTCGTCGTCGTTGACATCTGGGCTTCGAGAACGTTTCAGTTCGTGTTGCGCGAGCACCGGCGACGGAGCGGTTGTCATCGTGACATCGTGTTGGTTTTGTTGTGGTACTTCGGGCATGCCCATCTGTGTAGCCTGAGACGCGGGCGTGTGTTGAGGCTCAGGAGGCATCGAAAAGGCTTGCTCGGCTTGTGCAGTAGCTGAGCTGAGGAGCTGAGCCAAATGAAGAGAAGGCGAAGCCAGCGCATCGGATCCGGGGTGCGGGGAGTGAGAGGCGGAAGCGCGGTGCTGATCTGGTGCCGGGTTAGGTGCTGGGCTAGGTGCAGTCGGAAGTGTGGGACTAGTGGTCACTATGGGAGCAGCAGGAGCCGAGGTCTCGGACGGTGTAATCACTTGTTGTTTTGGTGATTGGGGAGGAGGAGGAGGAGGAGGAGGTGGAGGTTGAATGGGCTCTGTCGAGGAATCTTGCGCCTGCTGGGCTTCGGATTTGACTGGGGGATGACTGGGTTCGATCGAGGCTGGTTGGTTATGCTCGGGCTCGGGCAAGCCAGCCAGGGCGGCGAGCAGGTCCTCTTCAATCGACTGGTCAGCCATGTTGCGCAGAAGGGTCACCTCAGGGGGTGATGCCCATTGAGGTTCTCGCAAGAAGTGGTTGATCCGCTGTCGTCAACTGCCCCTCAATCCAAGCAATTGAGACGTTATACGCCGTCGAAGGGACTGCTACGATGCACTATTCTATCGATCCGATCAATTCTCGATGTCTGCTCGTGATGCGATTGCTATCGCGAGTGCTGGAGCGAATGCGCTGGCGTTATCGTGATCTTGGTCCCTTGACTGAGATGTTGCCGGAGAAATTTTCTGACGTCCGATCTCCAAAGTTGCCCTTATTTTGTGCCCCAGCCTCCGATACACAATGTCACATGGAATCCTAGAAATTCGGCACAACGGCGCAATATTCCACAGCCACCGGAAGACAAGTCAAACTCAATTCGGTATTGCTGATAATACATAGTGATGTACAATTTCTGAATCGACAAGATTGTTGTTTGTTGGGTTTTGGGTTTTTTGGATTCAATCGAGTACTTTGCAGTGCAGTATGGACTGAAAGGGAACTGAATTGGCAAATGAATGGATGGGACATTGCAGGGAAAGATTTCATGGCCTGCAATTGGCTGAGTAGCTCTTACACCGTAAAAATGACGGAAGTTATTACTGCTGATTACGAAGGAGTAATGCTAGCCAATTCTTCAGGGCATCGCAGAATGCATCAAAAAAAAAACCCCGTTCAACATACCACTATGAGGTATGCATTGGAGTCTTGGACGTCCCGGCAAGTTCGGGAGGGAACGGCACTGCCTTATCCTAGGGTCCTGAGACGAAGCAGACACCATGACAAGCCACTGCACAATAAAATTGGAACTTGATTTTCGGACCTTACAACTTATCCTCCGGAC